TCAGTGTTAGGCTCCTCAGCCTCACCTCCTGACTCACGCAGGTGATCCGGGTAGATCTTGGTGGGAGCAGGCGTTCCGCCAAGTATTGAGGTCCTAAACTGTTTAGGGCCTTATAGGTAATCATCAAAACTTTGAAGTCAATGCGGAAACGGATGGGCAGCCAGTGCAGCATAGCCAGGGTAGGAGAAATATGTTGGTATTTTCTCACTCCCGTAAGGAGTCAGGCCACTGCATTCTGCACTACTTGAAGTTTCCACATCAGCCTCAAAGGCAGCCCCACATAGAGTGTGTTACAGTGGTCTAATCTTGAGATTACAAGTGCATGTACCAAGGTAGTGAGCGCCCCCGTGTCGAGGTAGGGTCGCAGCCAGGCAATCCGCCAAAGATGGAAGAAGGCGGTATGGATTACCAACGCCACCTGGGTTTCCATGGTGAGCGTCAGGTCCAGATGTACCTCCAAGCTGCGAACCCCATTCTTTGCAGCCAGGGTCACCCCCCCAAAGCCGCCAACCCCAGAGGCGTCCACCCTCAGAACTTCCGTCTTGTCCGGATTCAGCCTCAGCCCACTTTCCTGCATCCACTGCAGTACAGCCCCCAGGCAACACTGGAGGGACAGGACGGCATCACCTGCAGTTGGTGAAAAGGAGATCTAGAGCTGGGTGTCATCAGCATATTGATGACACGAGACTCCACACCCCCTGATGACCCCACCCAGCGGCTCATATAGATGTTAAACAGAATTGGGGAGACAATCGACCCCTGTGGGACCCCACAATTGAGATTCCACGGGGCCGAAACATTCTCCCCAAGCTGTACTCTCATTTAGGACAAGAGGAGCCTTTTTTCACAGACAGGCAGGAGTAGGAGATGATATAAATCTTTAAAAATGAAACTCATTCTTCTACCATTTTTGTCTATCTACACTTCTTGGCTTTTACTCCTAAGAAAATATTATAAGATTATATCTTCCCAAATAAGCTTTGTGGTTTCTTTAATCTCTTGTGTCCGTTCTTTTGTTTCTGATCATGGGGCGTTCTTGGCAAAGATACTGGAGTGGCATTACCAGTTCCTACTCCAGGTGGATTGCATTTAGTCGGAACTCTCCACTATGTCCTGTCCATCT